TTCTCGTCCTTTGAAGTCCTTGGACGTGCATGCACGCACACAACCTAATTGCAGCCGCCTCTAAACGGAGCTCGATGCGACGGCGACGACGCCCCGTTTCACATCCGTGTATATTTAAAAGTGAAATATTTCAATTTCTCGTTGCTTTTGTTACCGAGTCGGGTAGAAACTCTAACCCGGTTCCGCATTCGTTTCTTCGCGCTCATTAGCAATACAAAAGAAGGCCGTTGGTGGAGCCGGACTTTTAATTATAGCTCACTCGGTAGCATAGCGTTTCTCGTATGGGTACGTCCGACACTGAACTGGAAAGGTTGGGGGTTGGAAAAACGAGGATGGAAGGGCCGCTAATGCTAAGCAAACTTCGCCTTTGTGTTACCGGTTAAGATTGGGGGCACGTAAGCGACGTTGCTAGTACGATAGGGCCTCCCGTTGTGCCTATTAAATTTTTAACGTTTAATCCTAGGTACACGTCAAAAGTAAGGGTCTAAGTGGTAAAACAGATTTATTGCTCCGGTTTGCCGCTATACAAAATTCGCGAGCAAACCCGTTGGTTTACATTTTTATGGCCCCCGTTACCGTCACGTTAATACTGTTTCTCGTTAACCGCACTCTTTGTAAGCACCCCCATGCTATTCGCTGTTTTAAAAGGGATTTTACACAGATCAAAATTGATTAAAAAATGCAACACATCCTAATAAACTAAATGAAAATGTATAAAACAACACGAGCTTTTAGAAGCCTTTGTTAAAAAAAAATAAGTGGGTAACATAAAATAGAAGACAGTATACTAATGTCACGTCCGGATCTGGAAGTCTGTGTAGGAAACACGTTTTACCTACTGGCAAATGCACTTCGCTGAAAATTATGTGCCACCGCAGTCAGGGGACGTATGCAAGTGCATTTCGTATACGTACCTAGTCAAAATGTGAGACTCGACGGTGGTTCGTACACGACCGGTTGCTCTAAATTTTCGATTTTCCTAGTTTGCTTGACTCGACAGACATTACGGAAGATTGGCAGTGCGGCATAAAAGAGAGAAGAAACGAGCATTGCGACATACTGTGATGTGAAATCGCGAGGCACACGTTTTAGTAAGATGGTCACAGACGACCATCCCTTAGAATCACTATGTTGAGTTAGGAAGTACGAGAATTCAAGGCGCTTAGCACTCCAGATCCAACGGTCGCGACCGTTCCATAACATCCGGGTGCGTTTTTAGGAGGCATAAAAGTGGGCAAAGTGTTCTGTTCTTTTGGCCGCGTTATAAAACGATCGCCAGGGGAAATATCAGCAAAGATTAAACCGTCGTTTCAACGTAACTACACTTTTCTTTAAATGTCCCATTAAATTTGAAAATATGACGAAGTAAAACATTAAAAACGCAAAACATTATAAAAATGTAAACATAAAAAAACAGATTTTTTTGTTATAAAATTAAACTTTTTATGAATTCAGTGATATAAAACTTTTCTTTTTTTCGCGCTTAAATGATACATTTGGTTCATCTGAGAATTATTATTGGTGTACCAATCCAAAGCGCGCCTCCAAAGTAACAATTAATTCAATTTTAGTTATAGATATTGGTAAAAATTATTGGATAACTAGAAATGTTTCAAATTCAAGAAAGATATACCTTTTTATACATATTAACTAGATTTTTTTAATATAGCGTTATTTAAATTATAATTAATGATGATAGTTTATTGTATACTTTATTCCTTATAAGTTATATTAAAATAAATTAAAATAATAATTAATTTAAAATCAAAAATTAAATTTTAAAAATGCAAATACAATAATTTTAAATTTATTGATGTTCATTGTTTCTTCTTGTTTTATATCCTTTAAATTGCGTATATTGATGTTTCCGTATTATTTATTAATTTGGTCATTGCGGGATATTCCATTGGAATGGTTCTTAATAAATTATTCATTTCGGCAATTTATGAATAATTTTTATGATTTCCCATAAATTCATGCTCCTATCCGATCTTCTCGTTCATATCCCTCATTATTATTGTGTTAATATCATTTTTTGGGGATGAGTTGTACCCGTTTTATAACACTTTTAAATGGCGTCTTTTATTTCAGGCTCGTGTTCTTCCGTCGGGCAGTGTACGGTAATAATTATTATGTTAAAGAAACGCGACTCAGTTATACTTTATCTTATTTTGTTGTCTACTATGAACGCTACACCGAATTTTATCCGGCTTGTCTGCTTGCCAGTCTACAGCACAGTGTAAGCGTTAGTATCTCTCATTCTCATTTTGTGTTCTTTCATTCCATGTATCTATCTCCCACCTTTCTCTCGTTTGCCGTTTCCGTCCCAATGTTCCACTGTGAGGCTTCATTTCAGGTTTCCTAACCATAAATTTTTTTTACCAGAATGGTTTGATGGCCCATTGATAAACTGCCTTTTTGGAAGGTCATTTCTTCCGCTCTTGACATGTCTCCAACTGTACTCTAAACTTTAATAAGTCCACAAATATTTCCTGACTGAGGTTCCTCCCCAGACAGAGTGAGAACCAAGCATCGTCTGTTGAATAACATCCTTCTGTGTCCTTTCGTTGCAGTCATACATATTTTTAAATTTTCTAAATGGTAAAACAATGAACTCGTCTATAATCCTCGTTTTAAGGTAGACCTGAAACGCAAGTTTTGCACAAAGTTGCAGTTGCACAAAGTAAATGAAGCAAATTGGTATTTACTTACTAATTTCGGTCCCATATGTACATTTCCAGAGCAGGGAAGAATGGGAGTGCGTATTTCAAAAGAGAATAAGTCAGCTGATTTTTAATTTAAAATAAATGCAATTACAAGAAAGTAAAGTTACATCTTATCTTTACCATTTAACAATGAAAAAGTGAAATTATGTTTTGACAAATAATGGGCGTGTTCACCAGGGAATGTTTACGTTGACCAAGGTCATCACGGTTTTGGTGAGCGGCAAATGTAAACATACAAATTTTACGTTTGATAAAAAGACGACTGTTTGTAAATGTTGACGGCTGGTGAACGTGTTCAATGTTAGGCAGATAACGTCCATTTTTTTAATGCACTTTCAAGGTTTACCGACGTAGGAGCTTTTGGTATCCAAATAAAAAATAACAAGAAGCTGTGAGATCAAGGTAATAATGAGGCACATCATCGATTTGGGAAATTACATATCCAAAGATGTTGCAACCTATCTTTCTGGAACTAAACGGTTCTTATGCTAATTGACGATGATCAGGGTCGCAATTCTGGAACCAAAACTTTTTTCATCATGAATTTTACTATAATGACCTGTCTGTATAGATGCAGTTTTTTGCTACCCAATATCAGCAGCGCTATTTGTTCATACAGTCGTTCAAATAAAAATAAATCTCATCAATCCTCATTATTACTACTAGTTCATTTTCATCAGCAAAACATTCATTCAGCAGTTATATTCTTTCAGCGAGCTGTTGGCCTTGTACAAAATCTTCTTCATTCAGTTACTGGACAACCATAAGTTTACAGTGGTAAAAGGGAAGATCGAAATGTTGTGTCTCAGACAAAGCTGGGGGCTGGTATCGTTGTACTTACAGGGACGACCATGAGGTTTATAATTCTCTTGTGCAGGTAACCATTGTCACTAACGAACCTCGGCATTAATTCGCATGTAATGCCCGTCTAAAACGCCCCTCCATTCTGCCCCACCCTGTATGAATACGTCACCACCCCAAAATTTTACAAAACTATTGTAGATTTGCCTGTATAAATATATATAAATGGAAATCTCCTCAAGCAATAATAATGACATTTATAAATGAATCGCACGAACCTCGGTTTTTACTATTTTTGATCTCTTAGAAGCAAAGAACGTTTATATGGGTTTATATGGGTTATCATCTATTAGCTACGTCAATATATAACTAATAGATTAACGCATACAATGGTGAATTAAAGACTGATTGTCACTTGAAAAGAAAAAAATTCTAAGATTAGTCTCAAATATAGATCCAATTTGTCCAGAAATTTTATTGAAAGCCATTTGGACATACAAATGTTGAACCACAATTTTCCAATAAATAAAACATAATTAGGCAACATTGAATACTAAAGAAAAGTGAATAATAGATGATTATTTGCGTAATAGAAAAAAGACATAACTGGGTACACATATGGTAGCAGATATCTGTTTGTTTAAAAGTAAATATAAAATAGCTAATGTCAAGCATATTATATAGCCATCATACATTTTCCTTAACCACAAAGTTGCTAGTCGACCTTGTATCTTACTTATTATTAATTAATTATTTGACATAGGCGGCTAACGAATTCTTCCCAGCAATTGTAACTCTTAGCTTCGGTAATAGTGCTGCGTCAGTAAACAGCTAATTGACCAACAATAGCTTGTGCAATGCATGGTAGGATTCGTGAATATTTAGAAGATGCCACAGGCGGTAGTCTTTGAAGCCGTGGCAATAGTTTCAGAATGCTCATCAAGTTGAATCAATTGATAAAACACAGAAATCTTATACTCATTGCTAATTAAAGGATAAAAAATTATTTTAAAGTTTCCATTTAAAGGATTAAATCAATCAACAAAGCAAGCAACAAAATTCTTTGTTGTTTTAAAATAAAAAGATTGGTAAGAAATACACGATTTTTTCATTCTTGGTTTCATTTAACGAGAGAATGGGGATTGGTTATTGAAGAGTCGATTCTTGCACCGCATAATACCAAGATTGTTTCGAACCCCGATCTCAAGAAACTATTGCAGATGGCAAGAACTGAAGATTGTTATACGCCGGGTAGAGTAAGGCGTTGGCTAACTTTCCAAAGTTGCATTTGCAATCGTGATCACGTACGCACATCTGACGCCGTATTTATGGAAAAGCGTTGACAAATCCAATATTGATGTTTTCTATAATTCAAAATGAAGTTTAAGAAACCGCAAAAAGGCAATCCATAAACATAATTCAAAAATAATAATTTTAAAAATAATTGTATTAATAAGATTTCTTTTTTTGTAGGTTTACACCGAATATTTCTGTTATGGATTCAACATACATACAGTCCGTTGACGACGAAAAAGCTGTTGGATAAGGAGTGTGGGAATTTCATGCAGTTTCGGTAAGTGTTATACTTAGTGAAGATGTCCAGAAGTCCCAAAATCCTGAACTTCGGCGAGTGCACTTTCGCAGCATTTAAAATCCTTGCCGTTTCCGGCCCGCGAGTCTCGCGTTACGAACGTAAATTGTTTTGTACTTATCGGTAAAACTCGAGAACCGTCGCTTTAAGTTGTACTTTTGCACGGAACGCGGGAGACATCGCGCTTTATTAAGCACTAAATTCCTGATAATGGAATAATGGGAAGTTCTTTAACGCGGAAAATTGCGGTCCGTGTTTTTACTCCGGCTACCACGGTTAACGGAGTTCCTTTTTGTGTCCGCAGCGACGAAGTTTCGCACTAGATCGGGTGTCTCTTCTGTTTCGCTTCGAAGAAACTCACGATTAATTTTCCTTAATGTTGTAAGGAAGTTGGGAGAATTTATTGACCATAAATTTACTTGACTTAAAACTTTTCTATTAAAAAACACTTTTTCTTTTTATAGCTATTGAAAGACATTCTTAAAAGTACACTGGTTTATATAGTGTGGTTATAACTTTTTATATATACATAGAAATTTGAGGAAAACGCATATGTATAGTGCGATTTAACCCCGGTATGAATTTCATTCAACAAGGTGATAAAACTTTATCCTCGTATTTATTATCTCCGGGTGCTGGGACTCGGTTCGACCGGTAGTTTATAGCTTTGGTGCTTCGAATGAAAACCGCGCGTCAAATATTCCGTGTTGTTAAAATGAGTCGTTCAATTACCGCTGGTAAATTGGTGATTCCAAACGAACCGTTACCGTGCGGAATGTGTTGGCCATTCAGTTTTGATAGATACCCTTCGCACTGCTTATCAACTGATTAAAGACATTCCCATAAAGAAGTCTTCTACGTCCGTTCGTAATTCATAAACTGGTGTAATAAACAAGTGATGTTTGATCGTTAAAATTAAGTGCAGCGAAACTTGCAGTTCATGAATTACTAACGATCGTATTTCCTTTACTACAAAATTTCCTAACAAGTTCGAAGTTTGTACTTTTTTTTTAACTTTTTTCTTTTATTAGAGTCGATTGGTATATTCAAAGCGATGTAAACTTTTACAAGATGTAATGCTAAGTGGGGCAATATCGAAATGTAACATACATAGGTGAACGTTCGTACCAACAGAAGCCGGTCCTGTTACGCAGTTCAGTCAGCGAATTGGACTGGTAGAGAATTTTTTTGCCAACCATTCCAGCAAGGCAAAGTAATGCGTTTATTTGATGTTTGCCTTTGGGTAGCGCTTCGTCGCTGGAAAATATTAAATTATCAGAGCAGAACGGTTCACTGGCTCAGCGCTCAAGCACTTTGACAAAATTCCAAATATTTTTGAACCTCGTAAACGATTATTTACTCACCGGATGAATTAATTTTTTACGGTAAACGTAAATACGAAAATTTAAATATTAAAGAGATAACCATGAACACTAGTGATAACTATTATTATAGTATTGCCTTTTCAATTAGTTCTTCATATTAAATCTTGATTAAAAAAATGTTTTGTTCGAGTAATTCTCCTCGGAAATAACATTGTAATTACTTTAGTCGTTGAAAAAGCTCTGTGTATTTAATTAATGATAAACAAGCTATTTTGAAAAGAAAAATGTCAAATATAAAACGTTTGAAAACAAAACACGATTTTGCTTTTCCGTAACACATGTTTGTGGAGAACTTTTCTCTTCTGCGTAATATCTCTATCGACTTTTTCTATATAGGTTGCTTTGGTTTAGTATCTGGCTCCTTGCTTCCACACCGGCGAGTTGTTCGTTACTTTTCACCTGATATCGACCGGGGAAGGAACCAGTAAATGGTTTCTGCACTCAAATGAGATCTCAGTGCTGGGTAAGAGCGGGTAGTTTAGAAGTGCATTAACCTGTCAAACTTGCTGCTGCGCCCAAGTAAACCGTTAGAAAAGGGAGGACTGAATTATATATAGACTACGCGTCCGGAAGTGTCACGTTCATGTACATACTAAATGAGGAATAGAACGTGCCCCCGAAAGAAAGATCGGAGTTTGTGCCCATCACGTCACTCAAATATGTAGTGACTGTTTCAGTGAATCTACATCACAAAATATACATAAATATTTAATATCAGACTGTAATTTTAAAATTTATATTGTATCTTTTACCACGTACAATATTTCATAAATTGCCGCTTTTTGTCAACACCACGTTACAATTTTAATTTTTTTTATGTTCCCATTAATGTAACAATTTTAGACCTCACATTGGCGTTATTTTTTTTTATACATAGTGGTTTTAAAAAAGATCCCATACCCATTTTAAACAATGAAATTGGTAGTAAAAATTACCAAACCCATGTTTAAAACAAACATAAAATTCCTATAGGTACTATAAAACTTAAAGGTACTTGATTAAGGATTTATAGCCTTTAATCATCATTAAACATTTACGTGAAGTCGTTTAGTCCTAAAAATAAAAGTTTAAATCTCGGAAATTGTCGAAAGTTATTTAAAACTTAAACAACTGTTTTAAACAACTAACTTATTTTTTTAATCATCTATTAAGTCTTTAAATCCATACAAAAAACATCGTTTATGCTCGAATTAATACCAAGATATTGAATGTATTTGAAAAACCTGAGAAAATCGATACAGTGTTAAGGCCTCTATCTATAGCTAACAACAACGTAAGCATTGCAGTGCTGCATCCACCCTCTCCCGAATTTCTGAGTCCTCAAGGTATAGTAGGTCAACTATGTGGGTGAACTAGATAGTAGGTTATCCCACTTCATTTGCTGAATCAGTTACCTTTTCATAACTTTATCGAGTTTTCAACAAAGTTCACTTAGATTGTTCAGTTTTGGTAAGGGAATTGCAAAGAAGCGTTTATACTATTATGGACAAACACTTTCCGTCAATTAGTAGATGATTCAAGAAACCTTCTTTAAGTAGAAGAGGGTAAATCATAATAATCACAATAGAAGTGGGAATCCTTCAATAATCTTAATAAAGATACTGTAATAATAAAGAATCTCTTATTTTATATCGCAGTAATCTCAGTGCAAAGATTTTCTTTGTGGCTTTTAAATAGTATATCATTTATAAATAAGAGCTTTAGACTGCATCAAAATAAAACAATAAGTTACGCAAATATCTGTTACCTCTGTAGTCACTCCTGCAATTGAAAAGAATGTTACAAAAAATCGTCTGGGTCGTTATGTAACAAACATTTTATCTGACCATGGAATGAAGGAAGGAGTTATTAGAAAATCCGTGAGTTCCGCGCAAGAATAACGGTTTTGCCAATGATGCCTAAACGATGACTAAATGGTGTTCTGTGTAAGTACTGTATTTTATTTCTCCCTTTGACGAGAACTGTAAGAGAAGTGTTAGGTTTGTTTATAACCACAGCATTCACAAAATTTAAAAATATGCAGAAAGATTCAGTTGCAGCAAAAAACAAATGATGGGAAGAAGCAAATTAGGCAGCAATTATTTCCTGTACAGTATTCTGTGAGTCAAACTATATGGCTAATTTATGAGTTGAATGTGGTGATATAATATTAAAGAGTCATATGAGCAATATCTTATTTATACATCAGCAAATACACAAGTCCAAATGATAAACAGATGTGGTGAAGTTATTAGGGAGAATGTAATAAATGTTATGTTACACAGTCTTAGGCGATGGAACAGCCGATATTTCGGGGAAGGAACATTTAATGAAAATTTTCGAGAGGAATTTGCAGGTTATGTGGAGCACAAGATACCTCATTAATTATCACTGCAAACGACAATTTTTTTGGTCAGCTACAATTTTTTACCAGGAAATTGTGTAGGATTTGATTTTGATTGCTGTGCTATAATGGCCGGTAAAGAGGATGAAGTACAAGCGATTTTAAGAAAAAAGTACATAAATCCTGTTGTTAAAGCCACAAACTATGTTGCAGAAATTAGAAACACTATTGGCACGGCGAAGGTTGTTATAAACTTTTTTAGGAAATCCATTATTCGTAGTTAGTTCCTTCACGACTGTGTGAGACTGGATGGTCTAAAAAATACAAAAGTATTCGATTATTTACACAAAACCTCCCTGAGATTGTCAAAACATTTGGGAAACTACACGATGCGACGAGTAAATCTACTTACCAGTTGCAATCGGCCATTACCAAATCCTCGTTAGTTGTTGCTCTAACTGTAATAGTAAAATATTCGGCTTTACTTGAGCCAGTAGTTAATGCGTTGCCAGCAAAAAATATTGATCTTTTACGTATTATAGAAAAACCGTGAAAACGGCGACCTAGTTACTGCTGAAATAATTGAAAAAGCACAAGAGCTTGCAATGGAATTGGAAATAAACATTCATGAGACTGTGATAATGACTAAAAGTAGAAACGTTTATTAATTATACCATATTTAGATTCGATTATAACATCCTTAAATATTCGATTTTCCCAAGACAATACGTCCAGTTTGTGCCCTAACAAAACTACATCCCCTGTACAAGCTTAACATGGAGCAGTCATTTAATATATAGTATACAACTTGTTTTACAACTATAGATCTTGTGAAAAAGCAAAACAATCACTGAAGAGAAGTTAAGTGGTACTGATAATTGATAATCTTCTCAGTGAAATCGATATTTTTTACCCCATCGTAAGGCAGTTACACTACTCTATGGCTATTGTGAAACGATCATTCAATGAATACACTTCGAAGAGTAAAGAGTTGACGGGATTGTGTTTAATGAGTGTACACGAAGATTTAGTTAAAGCAAATCGGGAGCAATTCGAAAAACTTATTTCAAGAAATAAGTAATAATTTATACTTTTATATAGTCCATATTTAAGTACAGGTTAACGTAACACTCTCGTGTTAAATGAAGAAAACTATATACACGCAAAACGTCATCAAAAGCTAATTAAGAATTTTCTCTTATATTTAGACACATGCTAACGTGTAACCAAATCAAAAAGATTATCTGCACGTTAGAACCCCAATTAAATGTTTT